TTGAATAGACAGGTATAATAATAATAGTAATATTAATAAATATATATATATATATGTATGTATATATATATAGGCCTATATATATAAACCTATACGTTTATATTCGTTTTAATATTTAATTTACGGTACTTATATAATCGATAAAGGTTGTTGATGTAGCCTACAATAACTTTGCATTTAAAAATGCCCGCTATTCGTGGCTTATTGCTGAGGTAAGGCCTACGTCAGACCATGAAAGATTGTGCAATATTGTACAACTGTATACCATACACAATATTATAGAACTAAACACTTTCCACAAAAACAATAATTTTTTTTTTAACTAGGACGAAGATGACGCGTTTTCGTTAGGTCAAAGATAACGCATTTTCATGTCCTTTTCTATAAAAACATTTGGAATGCAGTAGCACGTCTCTATTGCCGATAAACTTGACAAGGCAAACATATTTTGTATTAATTCCGATATTTGACACACTCATTAATTTTCGGAGGCAATCGCAGAATCTATTAACTAAAATATATTTCACGAAAGACAACCCCAAATTACAAATCGTATTCTAAAGAAGACCATACGTAACCTAGGCACTTACAACTGACACGCGGTTTTCCGGCTGTCGGGTTTGAAGTATACATTATTGCCATTATTAATTTTCGTTAATGTCTCCTTGAATACATATATACAGAAGATCAATTGATTATCAATTATTCAGATCCCATTCCCAATCGCTGGCCGTACTTTACAAGCACTCAACTTCATGTTCTTTACGTGAGGAGTTTGTTTTTTTATTCCAAAGACATTGCTAATCAGGAAATCCATTAAAGTGTTTCATCTTCGCGTTAATCTATCGAAATTTATATTAAAGTAATAATAATGATATTAATAATAATAATAATAACGAAAATAATTGTTTTCAATTAAAAATAATGACGATGATGGTGATGATAATATTAATAATAATAATAATAATAATAATAATAATAATAATAATAATAATAATAATACAAAAAATAAGGGTACGCGTCAAGGACGGAGAGCTCTAGATGTTTTATTTTAAAGAGACAGAGAGATTAATAACAAGGTATCACCTACATGAGAGAGAAACTTTGATATTAAAAAATTAGGCAATATGCGCTTTAAATAGGGTAACTAAGCCTTTATTTGTTAGTCAATTACAAACTATTTTTCCTCAATCATGTGGGATTAAAGTTTAAATGAATGCGATTTGTGACACACGATCTTATTTAAGAGAGCATTTGTTATAAATTGAACTTTTTAATGCTGTATGTGAGTAGAATCTGTCAGAAGTTAGGGTATTTATTCAAATTTAGGCCAGCTCTATTTTATGCTCTAATTCGTTTCTTCATGTACCATATTTTATTGCCTACCTCTAGGCCTAACTGTCTCATGAAATCACTCACATCACGTGTGCAAGTAACTAACCACTCGGCATATGTTTTACTTTCCATTACTTATTGCAATCTTTTTAATGTTCTATAAAACTTCATAATTCGATAGATTGGCTCAGATCCATTGTGACAAGCCAATTTCAGATTGAGTTTGGCAAACAGATGTATAACACAATTATTTTAAAATAGGCCTAGGCTTAAATGGTCTAAATATTTATTTACAAATCTACAATATCCTTTAATGTTTTTTTAATAAAGAAAAATACTAAATGAAATGAAATGTTACATTTTTGTACATAAACGCAGGCACATTTGGGCTATGCACATTCTCATTCATTCATTCATTCTCATATTTTATTTTAAAACTTCACAAACATACAAATAATAACAATAAAAATGGTTTCAAATAAGAATTGCAGAATATAACATTGTAGTAAAAACTAAATTGCGTTATATTAACAAGATTCATAGTAAAAAAAAATCTTTTTTTTTTCAACTTGGCCTAATTGTACTCACCTGTAAACCTAATCGCTAATGACACGCCTATAACAAGCGCCACCACCGTCAACACAATCATAACAATTTCGTACACGGACATTTCCCAGTCTGTCGGCGTGCATAAGCAACGCCTTCGGTTCTTCTTCGGAGTGGACGGTGATTTGTCGACAAAAATGGTTTTAGTAGACTGTGTTTGTATAAATGATGGGCTGGCAAGAGAATCATCATCATTTGGATCAAATGCCGGGTTTTCAATTGATGTAGGTTTCTAAACAAAACGTAAAAAATAGTTTCATTTTATCGTCATTTTTTATTATCTACACGATAATTATGATATTGTAATAAAAACAGTGTTTTGATTGAACAGAGAGCGTTTATAAACGACCCATTTTATCCTTATTTCAATCATGATCTGTACTGGCTTTTGTAAACTGCTTACACTAGTTAAATTCCTACAAAAAATCATTACTGTATTGCATATAATTATGTCTTCGGAGGAACGTTGGTTTCATGCACTGGAATTTTGTTGCCGATTCTGACTGTGTGTAATCTACCAGGTGTCCGGGAGGCAAATGTTCAACAGGCAGACCCCTCCCCACCCCCACTTGTCAGTGATGTTATACTCTTTAGTGACTTGTTACTTCATACAATATCTCGAAATCGTGGACTCACCGACACAGGATTGTTGCTGTAACAATCTATTCGTAAAATTTAATAGATTTGTTAATATCTTTTTATTACATGCTCTACGGGTATGCAGTAGGCTACTGCTGTATTTCATTTGGTAAACGTTATATTGATGATGAAGTTTACAATTTACAGGTCATACGGACAAGCTTTTATGAATTTCCTAGAAAGGTATTTTTCATTATAAATCCATTAATCTACAAATGAGTTAGTAATGTGCATTGTTCAAAGTCTTCTACAATGACCAAGAGATATACTAGATGGCATGAATTGTTATATATTATGCCTTCCTCTTTTTGACCATTTATTTTATATTGTATCATTTATAAAAATTGTTTCCGAAATAAACAGTACATGATACAGAACGAATTATCCGAATACAAAGCATATTGCAGTACAGTGTACAATAAAAAATAGATACTTGATACCAGATGTTGAAAGCAATTCTCAACGAGTGGGCAGTGAATCCCACACATCTAATCTAGAAAAACAAAATCCTTTATTAATGAGTTCCATTAATTTTAAAAAGTCAAAGGTTTGATTGGCACTTTACTTCAAAGGCACCGATAGAGTTTAGTAAGATTGTAACAAAGGCCGAGCTATCAAGATGGAGACAGTCGCAAACGAGACAATTTAAAAGAGTAATGCTGTCTGTAAATTTGGATTTTTAAGCACCTGTGGTTATACTGAACGAATTCCTTTCGAGAATGACTAAGACATAATCTAATTAAATAACATTATTTGATTTTTTTTTCTGATATTAGGCCTATTACCATTATTATCATTATCGTCATCTTCATCATCATCATCATAATCATCATCACCATCATCATCATCATCATAATCATCATCACCATTATCATCATCATCATCATCATCACCATCATCATCATCATCGTCATCATCGTTGTCATCATCATCATCGTCATCTTCGTCGTCATCATCATCATCATCATCATCCATCACCAACACCATTTACCATTACTATCATCATTCCCATCATCATCATTTAATCATAATTGCTTTTTTAACCATAATTAGAGGGGACCCTTCCAGCGTATCCTAGAAGGTCGGCTGATATGTAGGGGTACTCCGAAGTAAATGAAACAGCTTGATGCTTTTTATTGGCAAAGTCTCTTTATGAGGCTTAGGGAGTGGAGTTGTTGTTAGTCGTGAGAAAAAGTCCTGTTATCACAGGAACTGAACCCAGGACCCTGGGACTAGAAGGCAAACATCTTAACCACTAAGCATTCAACCCCACTCCAATTATTATTAACATCATCATTATCATCCTCGAGTCATCCTCATCCTCATCATCAACATTAACAACATCATTAGCATTTATTATTATTATTATTATTATTATTATTATTATTATTATTATTATTATTACTACTATTATTATTATTATTATTATTATTAACTGAGTGTTTATATTTTTTCTATATTTCATCACATAATACGGCATGTTGAAGCACGTTGTTTAATGATACGCCTGTGCATTCCGCGCCTGCTTCCGTTCTTTTATTTACCGACTTTTTCAACATAAAATACAGACATGTATAGACATCATAATCATCCCTTGGAGAAAATATATATTTTCTCCATGATAATCCTGAGCAAAAGCCTGTGATTGGCTAGTATTACGATGTCAGATTTCTTAAGACTAAGAGGCTATTAAAATGGCATGATGGCAATTACAAAATACGGTGCTCATATTTTAATTAGATAGCTAGGCCCATATCACAATTATCCTTGTTTAAACTTAGAATTCTATTCGATAGGAAGGTTGAGACTCGAGTAATAGAAAAGTTGTTCGGATCTCTAGGAATCATTATCTAGATTACCAGTTGTCTAAGCCGGTACCAAAGCGGATAAACCACTCTTGTTATGCTTAGGTTTGTGTAGGCCTAAAAACAAGTGGTTTCTTCCCATGACGCATGCATGGCAAATCTATATAGTGCAACGAAAATCGCATCTTACTCAAAATGATATGATTGATATTGAGGAAACACGACTGTTCAAATAGCCAAAAATCTACCTAGGCATATGCAATATTAAAGGCCAATTAGTATAATAATCTTCCTCAGGGTACAGCGAAAGTATTTACAGTACAGATAATATGTTCCATATTGACAGTGACGTATGAGTTTATGACCATTCGAAACCCCACCACATTCTTTCACGGTAAACCTCTCTAGCCTATCGAAGTAAACATGCAATCACGGCACCACCTCAGTCAGTTGATATTTTATATATTATAATAAAAAAATATGATACCTCTCAAGTTATCGAGGTAGAAATGACCTACACTAAAATCCCAGCCGGTGCTGTATAACAGTTGAACCAAGTTGAACCAGCTCATAAAAAACTAAGAAGCACTTGCGTTTACAGAGAGAGGCCTACAAACTACATTACATTATGGTGGAAGGCGTATTTATAAATCTCTTGAGACTTGGGAACCTCAAATGGAGACCAAAACAATAATCGTAACACAAAATATTCACCTTAGCATGAATTTTAGGCCTTAAGTCAACCCAAAATGCTGACCACAAAGGGGCCCCATCCACACGAAGACAGCGTAATGGTTCACTCTTAATAAAAACATATCTTACCTCCATTGTTATTGAAAACTCCGTTTGTGTCGGAAAACAGGTTATCTACTCGCTGTGTGTTTAGCTCACTACCGAATGCTTACAGTACCTTACAACCTTGACCCAGCTATATTATTATTTCTTTCTCGTCTGGATGTTTCCTTAAATTTTATATTTAACTTGTTACACAAAACGAATTATATATAATGCTCACATTCAGTTATCAGATAGGAGCAGATTGGATGAGAGCTGACACAATAAAACATTAAACCCCTAAAAACGTTGAGAATACTGTACTTGTTGTGTGAGTTGTCCTCTAGCCGATGTGTTTAGATCAAGCATACCCCTTGCGGTCAAGTGCTAAACTGCAAAGGATCAAATTGCAATTTTGAGGAAGGAATTTGAAAGAAGAGGAAATTAAAGCCGCAATGGTACTTTAAAATATGAAAATGATTTTGTTTTATTTATTTATTACAGACTGGTATGTCTGCTTCCTCGTCAGTAGGTATGGTGTGTGATTCTTCATGCAAGAGGTACAAAAGAAATCAATATTCTCATGGAGAAGTATAATTTAAAATACAGGAATATGATAGAATTAAAAGCCGAGCATGTTTAACAACAAATTAAAACCATAATGAGCTGATTAATTATTAGGAAATACAATGATGGTTGTGTGATGCTGATGATGATGACGATGATGATGATGACGATGTCAATGATGAAGATAACGATAATGATAATGGATGATGAGGACTATGATACACTGCTGAGGATGGTGATGATGATGTGTTGAGGATGGTCTATGAATATGATGATTATAATTATAATGACAATATTGATAATACTGATAATCGTTATAAGGATATACTGTAAAAGATCAATGAAGCCCAGTCTCGAGATCTCGAGAAGAAGCCATCTCGAAAAACCCTCTCTTAAGTTGAAAAAGTTATCCCATCAAGATATTGTTTATACTATAGTACTGTAGTAGCAATTTCCAATTCCGGGTATTCACTATTAAAAGACGCCCTTTTCAAATGGCATTGTTAAACTAGAGAAATTCAGTAATAATAATAACAATATAGGCCTACATAATCATATAAATAAAGATAATACAATACGCCACAGATGATAAAGCAATTAAGTAAAGCGGTTGAGATATAATGTAATTTGGAGATGAATTAAGCTGATTATAAAGGAATAGAGGATTGAAGAAATAGGAATCAAAATGACATATTTATTAAGTCGATTTATTATTATCCCTTATATTGTTTAAACAGGGAGGTATAGTGTAAGGCACTTTTCATATTGCATCCCCATGGCAAGTACGATTGTACCGGCGCACGTGCATATAATGTTGTGGCTACTCACTAAATTGTCAGCAAAAAATTATATATTTATAATCAACGCCAATGATTTAATATGTTAATATTGGGTTTGTTTGCTGAATACCGGTACTTGTTCCTGAGCTTCTCATATTACTGTAGTTAGTATGTCACTTATAAAGTATACCATTATATATAGTATAGACCTTTATTAATCAGTGAGTGAACGCCAAATATTTCCACAATAATAATAATAATAATAATAATAATAATAATAATAATAATAATAATAATAATAGTAATAATAATAATAATAATAATAATAATAATAATAATAATAATCAAGATTTAAATATGTAACTTGAAAGTTTCTAACTACAACACTTTTAAAGTTTGTGTAAATGAACATCTTCTGTCGATACTTCCCTCATCAGTCTATTGATCACCAGGCTTTTTTAAATATATAAATACGTAATATGTATAAGTAAGTACCGGTACTCTATGTGTATTTATAGTTTTTTGTGTCTAGTGCCCCCGCGGGGGTTGTAGACACTTAGTTATCGTCTCACTTGTAAGAGAGTGAAACCGGTATAAGAGTTCAAAGTTTAAAGATAGAAATTATGGGATACCGTTGCATCGTAAGTTAAAGATAGAAATTAACAGTTCACCCAAACCTAGATCGAGTCTCCAAATAGAAAGTACCCTTAAAAACCATGTTATGTGTCTGTCTTTTTCCTTGTTTCATTGTAATGACCTGAATTTCATTTATTTTTACCATTTTTATTAATAGAATATATGATTTATTTATATAAACTGTATCTAAAATTAGAGAAAATACACAAGTAAAAAGCTAAACCTTAAAATAGGCCAAAAAATCATAAAATGGACATCAAAATAGGAGTGATGTTTTGCCCTTCCTGACGTTTTATCGCACCGGTACCGAATACTCAGTACGTTCCCAAATATCCCAAAAATAAAGTGGTAGGAATCGAGCCCACCACGACTAGTCTGGTGTCATAACCACTAAGCCACCGAAATTTCACTGACTAGTGTTTATTCCGATTCCAAAGTTGCCGAGAGTACTGCAAATCATGCAGGGCTATGCTTGATACACACGTAGAAATGAAATAAGCTATAAAATAGAATTTTAAAAATCTCTGTTCTATTAATCTACCATATTAATTAATATAGTCAACTAAAAATCTTCAATCCTTAAATATTGCTATAATTTGTGGTTGTTGTCTTTCATATTGAAAATTATAAGCAGAATGCCAATCAACTAACTTAATAATACAGCTGTATGAAAGTCAGAGGCCCTTATAATTGGCCGGTAATCACCTAAAAGGATAAACAAAAAGTTGCTTCTTTCGATCCATGTATCATTGAAAGTGACTTATTCATTCTCATATTGATTTATTCAATTTCCATATTGACTTTAATTCAATCTTTCAAATCAGCTGATGTTTTTATGGTAGGCTGTAGGCTTTTAGGGAATGTCAGGAACTCTATTAATTTGCTCTCCCAAGAGCTAAAGTTATTCGTTTCTTATATCGCTATTAATCTTATTCTTTCTTTATTGTGTATTATTGTTGGTTAGGTGAAATAGTTTAGTTTCTTTATTGGTACTCTGAAACTACTAACTACTTGTAAAATTATTTATAATTCTGTTTGCTGGCTGCTTATTTTTATAAATTTAATTTGTGTTAGTGGGAAGCGTGGGAAAAACATTCCAAAAATTGACAAACTGCTCGTGATTTAATAGTAGCAAATCTTCTAATATTTTGTTGATGTTTAGAATACTTCATTAAATTTTGAGCAGTTTAATAATCCAAATACCATATATCATAATGAAGATGATATACGTCAATTGTTTTTAACTTTATTCAAAGACATCCAAGACTTTGAAAAGCTTCCTGTTTCAACTTAAGGAGAGGTGAGCTATATACTACGCGAGTAGTAACGACCTTCCCAGCAAACAATACTACGTTATGATAACGTGACAATAACGTTACAGTTTTGTGTTGAAAACTTTATTTTGCAGAACCATAAATACGTACTGAACATAATTTCACAAGGTTTGCACGTTCCTACAACGTTGTGCAAACGTTGTTTTGTGACATACCTAACCACAACGTTCGCCACGAACGTTATAAGAACGTAAACACGTGTTCTGGGTTTCTAAAAAAAATAATAACTCGTGGCTTGACAACAGGATTACATTTTTGGATGAAGTTATTAATGTTTTGACACAGAACAGAGATATTCTTTCCACACCAGCAGAAAACCCACAAGAGACTTAAAAGCAACCAAAACCGGGACGTCCTATCGAAGTATGGGAGGGTATTTCAGAGAGTTCGCACAAGAGTAAAATACAAGAATTGTAAAATGTACGCACTGAACTTCTTTGTGCAGCATTGCAAGGGGCGTTCAAGAACACTCGATATTATAGTCTACTAATATGTAGAAACACATTTTATTTCTCCCCGATAAGTAGTTTATCTCCCCAACGCCGTGGGGGGGGGGGAGCTCTCCTTGACGAAGACCCTGTCCCTCCCCCCGCTGCCCCACATTTTACATTTAAAAAATGTAAAATTAGGTTGTTTGGTATTAGTTTTTGATTTCGATTTCGATTTATTAAAATAAAAACTTTTATATTCACTGTAAGACTAACAATAGAAATTTTAATGTTGGCCTATGCCTAAAACACTTTTGGCTCCGTCCAATCAAAAAATGTATTTTGATGACCTCATGAAGTTCTTTTGTCCCAAACCTATTTAAACATTAAAAAAATCATTGCAATATGAACTTGTTTTGGTATTACAATGAAAACTGATATCGTCCAATCAGAAAAAAGTACAAAAATGACGTCATATAGATTTGAAAATTCTTTTATTGAATTCTACGGGTATGCAAACCTCTAGATAAGACTTATATTCGCTTAGATTAGCTTGTGTAATGATTAATTAATTTTGGCACACTTTGACTCCAGTCTGGCCCACTGTGCGGTGGTTCTATAGAGTTTGAACTTTGTTCTTTCTTCACCACTCCTCCACATTTTCCTTCTTTCCTATCCCTTCCGTTTCTATATAGAAATTTCAAAAAAGTATCTCTTAAGAAAGGAGTGTATCGTATTGATCTCTGTTATTTGACTGGTGCTGTCCAACTATTCATGGGCAAGACTCCAAAGAATTTGTAGCTTTAATCGGATTTGAATTTTCAATATAGCCTCAATGGCCCAGTTGATTAAGGCATCAGCATAGGCAGCAGAATGTCCCGGGTCCTATGCCCGGTTGTGGAAACTTTCTTTCCACTCGCAGATTTATCTCTAAGCCTAATTTGAAAATTATGTAAATATTCTTAACTATCCATCCCGTAATTGCATAGCACTGAAATTTTTCTTACTTTTACTATCTTGACAATAGATGTGATTCATGGTTTTATGGTTTTATAAAATAATAATACAAGCTCGTTTACTTTTTGTAACTCGATCCGGACTCTAGGCTTAGCCACCTTCCATGTCAAAAGTTGGATCTGCGAGGGAGGGAACCGGGTTTGCGTCATATCGACAAGTTGTTTTTGGTCCGCGCGAAGCGCTGACCCAGAGCCTCATTGCTGTTCTTGTTCTTGTTACCAAAACTTTAACAAATTTAAAAGCGTCCAGCGTCGCCAGTTTTGAACGGACGTGTAGGAAATTTTGTACACATATCCTAGAGGTTATTTCCAACAAACGTTCACCTCCACTTTGTTTTAAATTGGACCACCACAGGGTTCCCCCTACACCTACAAAACAAAACAGGGTTTTCAAATTTTAAAAGCGTCCAGCGTCGCCAGTTTTGACCGGACGTGCATGAAATTTTGTACACATAAACTAGAGGTGATTTCCAACAAACTTTCATCGCCATTTTGTTTTAAATTGGACCCCAGGGTTCCCTTTACACCTACAAAACAAAACAGGGGTTTCAAACTTTAAAAGCGTCCAGCGTCGCCAGTTATGAACGGACGTGCAGGTGATTTTGTACACATAAACTAGAGGTG